TCCATATATAAGTAGGTAGTGGGTGGGTAGATTGGTGGATTCCACTACTGGCCACAGAGCTATGCACCCTTAATGGGATTATCCAAGCAACCTACTCCTTCTCCCATGAACAACATGAGGGGTCACTGAAGTCTGCTTATGCTCCCATTTATGTGTGTCGTGACATGATTTTTAATCTTCAATAATGTGACATATCAAATATTATATTTCAAAAAATACTAAAATTAAACAAATCTTTAGATGTGTGTCTGTCCACACATAATTACAAACTAATTTTTTTTTAAGATTTATTTATTTATTCATACAGAACTGGGGGACAGGCCAGAGATACGGAGGGTGAGAGAACCCACCAGAGATAGAGTGGGGAGCAGAACAGGCAGATCAATGAAGCACACTGCTGAGGGGAGCAGCGGGCAGGTCAGGAGAGGTCTGCCATGCCATGTGGGTCACCTCCAGGGCAGGTGGGGATCGAACTCATGCGGAAGTAGTTTAGGCTTCTTAGTGCTGCGCTTTAACCCGCTGCGCCACCAGGGAGGGTCCCTAATTTTTTAAACTGGATATTGCTTACCTTTTTACTGACTGAAATGAGGCTTTATATAGGCATAACTTTTGTTTTTAAAACTTTTTCTTTTATTTTTAAGATTTAATTTTTATTTACTTATGCATAGAAGAACTGAGGTATAGCCCAGAGGTGCAGGGGAGGGAGAGGATTCACCAGAGACAAGAATGGGGAGCAGGACAGGCAGATCAGGGGAATCTACTGAAATACACTGCTAAGGAGGGCAGTGAGCTATTATTACATTTATATATTACTTGTATGGCATCTTTTATTAATTCAAAATTATCCTGGAGTTTCTATCCCATTCCAAGTATTTATTTTACCAACACATTACTGTTTTTTAATTAATATCCAGGATTACAAACATTTCTTGGCTCTTATTTATCATATAGTTATGAAATTTAGAATCACTGATCTGTGAAAAATTCCCAGTGAGGATTTATTAAAATTGTATTAAATTTACAAATCAATATAAAAAGACAGAATAATTCCTGAATTGCCTTCAGAGTTTAGACACACCAAGAATCTGTATCCTCAGAGTCAAGTTTAATAGTTTCCTTACTCTGCATTCCTTATAAGGTTTACTCCTCAATGTACTGCTACTATGAATGGGCTAAGTTTTTCTCATATTTTTCACTATATATACTGTGATATTTTCATTGTTTGTAATGGAATCTTAATACAATTCTATTAGGTTGTCTTGGAGAGCTCTGTAATCTATAAGTCATTTTATTTCCCTTTCCAACAGTTCTCTCTCTTACTCCATTCTCTTCTCTTAACATACTAGCTAGATATTTTAGAACTGTTCAGAGTAGTGAACAGCAAGTGTGTTGTTAATTGGAACAGGAGATAAAAAATTACAGTGCTTACCATGAATAGTATTTTGGTGACTGATCCCAATTTTGTTTATAAAATTGTAATGCTTCTCTTAAAATACTAACAGCAGGTATCACTGAGCAAAGAGATAATGAAGGATTTCATTCTTTTTCATTTTTCTCAGTAAATAATCAAGGTTTTCTATATTTACTTTTTATACTTTCTGAAAATTCAAATTCTGTGATGGATGATTTTTTTTTTTAAAGATTTATTTATTTGTGCATACAGAACTGGGGTACAGGCCAGAGGCTCAGGGGTGGCGAGAGGCTTCACCACAGACAGAGTGGGGAACAGAACAAACAGGCCAACTGAAGAAGTATACTGCTGAGGGGAGCAGTGGGCGGGTCAGGAGAGGTCTGCCATGCCATGTGGTCACCTCCGGGACAAGCGGCAAGCGGGAATCGAACTCATGCAGAAGTGGCTTAAGTTTCTCTCTCTCTCTCTCTCTTTTTTTTTTTTTAAGATTTATTTATTTATGTTTACAGAACTGGGGTACAGGCCAGAGATGCGGAGGGTGAGAGGATTCACCAGAGACAGTGGGGTGCAGAACAGGCAGATCGACAAAGTACTCTGCTGAGGGAGCGGGGGCGGGTCAGGAGAGGTCTGCCACGCCATGTGGTCACCTCCGGGGCAGGTGGGGATCGAACTGATGCGGAAGTGGTTTAAGCTTCTTTGTGCTGTGCTTTAACCCGCTGCGCCACCAGGGAGGACCCGATGGATGATGTTTTTAAAAAAACATACATTTGATTAAGATTCTCACACATATGTGAAAAAGTACCTATAAAAATATTTTATTACTTTTTATTTTCAGACAGCTACAGTTACACATGCCTTGCTACTGTACTTTTTTACTATATTGTATATTTATGTATGTCATGTTTTTTATTAATTAGACAAATAACAAATTCTCCCTATTTATTTTACAAGTTATATAAATCCTGAGGTGACCAGACACTCATACCCTTATTTCTTCTGATGTCCCTTTGCTTAAGGAGAACACTTTTAATTCCAAGTGTTAGTAGTTAGCAATCAGTATCTTGCAGTAGGCAAGAGAGAAGCTAACCCTAAAAAGAAGAAAAGCTTTCTTTTTATAAACAACATTCGAGTGTCCTTTGTGAAAGATGTCTAAAACAATGCCTAGATTCAACTGTTCAATTATCTCAAAGTAAATGGATTCTGCTAATAAAAACAGCACCTCAAACCTTTTATTAAAATACAATTACATCAAAGATATCAGTGAAAGATGCTATAAAAATACTTATAAACAACTTGATATTAGGAAGTCAGAACATTCCCAGATTAGAGCTCTACAAAAGCTAGATTCCAGTGTTCTTTAATGCTAAGGCTTGTATGTTAACAAATGTGCAGAAGTCTCCAAATCTTCACTAAATCTTGTTTGTTTCTTACTTTTATTAAGTAACTATTATATTGATTCCATCTTGCTATCTGAAATAATTAATCTGAGATGCTTTATCAGAAAATGTCAACTTCAAATATAAACAGTTGAACTTTTCATATTTACTCTATCAGGAAAGTTTCAAAGTACTAGAAAAATGCAGTGCTAGCCATCTCCTAAAGCAGAAATGAAATAATTAGGTCACAATAGATGCCTCCTTTCTTGGAAGAAAGAGAAAGATGATGAATGCGACTGGAATGCTTTTGTCACTGAAATTCTTCAGGCCTGGATTCTAAATATGCATCTAGATACAGGTTACTATGACAACTTGAATTATAGAAAATGTTCCTTCTCTTGCCAAGTTGTTTTCTCCACAAGAATATTTCAAGTCTTCTAAAACCAGTGTGCATGAACTACCAGTAACAATACACATCTCTCTACGAGTTTTATTCAGAAAAGCTCCCTTCCAGACACTTAAAAATCAAATGTAAGCACATAAAAAGAAAACAAACTCCATTAAGTCTACATGAGGCAGGAACCCTGGCCTGGAGAAGCACACACACATATACACCCGCACATACACATGCATGCACAAATGCACGGACAGGAAAGGCTGAGAAGCTCTCAGACTGCCTCCCATTACTAGACGCCCTGTATCCCCACCATATGTTTCATTATAGAAACCAGGGAGAATTACTCCAAGGCAACTTTGAAAGAGGATTATAAGGTTAAGTCCTGTTTATCATTATTTTCCCCAGTAATGCTTTTTACAGGAAGGTATAGGAAGGGGGGAGGGGGAAGACTGCAGTCCTATTTTGACCAGAAAGAGAAGCAAATAATCTTTAAATCTTTTTGTTTTACTCATCTTCCTTTTTCTGTACAACATAATGGGCTTTGTAGCTTGTTCTTACACAGTTTCATTTTTATAAACCTAACAAAGATGCCTTGTGATTAATAAAGTGTGAATTATTCTCCATTATCATTATCCTAAAAGAATAATGGCTTGGGAGAAACTGCATCATTCTGGAGAAAAATGTGATTTGGTAGAGATAGTCTGTTTGCAAGACATTAAAACTCAAAGTAGTTTCATGAAAAAAAAAGTTAATAATTTTATAGTGTAGCAATACTGAGAATTCAAAGCTGGTATGACTAAATGAGATAACTCATGGAGACAGGCTTCAGGAGCTCATATAGCCTCCCCTGGAGGAGCCTGGTGACGGGGGGAGTTGCGTGCACAGGCTGGTTAGATGTACAGCAGATCCCAGCCCCAAAGCCTTCATTTAAACTAAAACAAAACAAAACAAAACGTCACTTAAGAAAGGAAAACACTGCATATGCTAATAGAGTACTTTGTAATTTGGAGGCAAAGGCCTCCTAATTTTAGCATATTGAAAATTTTTGAATAAAATATAAAACATTAACTCTCTAAGCAGCAAACTCCAGAAACTTCCGCTGTCTGCTATCTGAATTAGCGGACAATTGCTAATGTTCCATATAACTGGGAATAACTGGAATATTCAAAACCACATGCATACAATCCCCAAACACTGAACTTGAAGCACAGTTCCTCTTGATATAACTAATACATAAATCCTCCTACTTAGAAAATAATCAATATAGAAAAGAGATTTACAGAATAGGAAGCTAAAGCTCAAAGGTAATGACTAGTCATGGGGAAAACTTCAGTAAGCTGAAACTCAAGAGACAAGAGAAGACACACATGAATCAAGTGAAAAATCATTTCCTTGTGTATTCTCCCCTCAAAAGGCTTTTGTTCCCCTTTCATTTAATGGAACCGATCATGGGCTCTATTAAAGAGGGGGCACTCAAGCTCCCAAAGGATTTATTCAGGGACTGTTTCAGACTCATCAAGGCCTTGCATCTCTCACTGCTACAAACTCGTGTCTGCTTGAAGGGAGGATGCTGAATGAGTTAGGGAGACAGAGGAGGTGGTAACAGCAACTGCCAAAATTTGCTTCCAACTGATTTGTTTCCAAATCTGAAACCTAAAGTCTAGTTTGTGATGCTTTCAGTGTCTACCCAAATGAAAAGCTAGATTTGTGTAAAGCACCTTATCCAAATAAAGGGCTGACAAACGACGCCTCCTAGGAGTTCACAATCTCTGAAAGAGTCCCAAAACTTAGAAAAGTAGTTCAAAAATAAAAGTACCTTAAAAAACTCTGTTGTTTAAGTCCCTGTGGGTGAACATCTCCCAGGAGGAGTATATGGTTTCTGACATCAGACTCACCTTCAGCTGCGGTCCAATGAGGGTGAGGTAGTGTGGTGGGCATGCACCCAAGGAGGAGCCCCACAGGCACCTGAAAAGGCACACAGACAGCACGCTTATAGGCCTGGCTAGTTTTTGGCCTCAAAGGATAAAATCACCCCACTTTAACTTATGGTTTCCAACAGCAAAATACATAAGGATTTAACTTCAAATAGTTTTCCCAGAAGAACTAATCTGTGCTCTGGCCCTTGCCCTTAGCCTTCTGAATTGCAGAGCTGTGGGGTGGGTTTGCTTTCTATTTGGCTTCAGTTGGCATTTTTTTTCTTGAGAAAGGGAACGGCACTATTTCTGGGACAGTCACTGCATGAGCCCTTGGCGCTCTAGGAAAGACACTGAGCCCCCTTGTCCCTGACCAGAGGGCACTGCAGTGCCCCCTCTGCCCCCTCTCCCTCCCTCCTCAATCCTCCATCATAGATGACAGCAGTTTAGCAGTGAGACATCTGGAAAGTTGCCTAGAGCCAGGGCCTAAGACATGAAGGTGAAGGAGAGACCTCGGGTTCTCAGTGCTACAAAATAAAAACAAAACAGGCTGCACTTTTTCTTGGTGAGCACAAATCACTGCCAGCCTAAAACCACAGTGACTTGGCACTGGCTCTGAGCAGCCCCTGGCTTCGTGCTGTGAGAATGTGAGCCTCTGCCACGGCACTGGTTATGGAGAAAGCCTCAGGAAGGCTTGGTCACAAGACTGGGAGCTGACGCGATTCATGTGCCTGCTACATTTCGTTTGTGGCCCTCACAGACGTGTCTGCACTTGCTTATAGAGTGGTTTACTTTAGTTACAGGACCATCCCATCTACTGACTTTCTAAATACACTGACACAGTGAACTACTTTTCTTTATAAATGGAAAATGCTGCCCCAATATTACAACTTCATAACTTAACTTCCTAGTTATGAATAATGTGAAATATTATAGTAGAAATAGTGCAAGGAGAAAGATCACATGGACTTCCATCCGATGTGAATGACTGGTAAATATACAAGCTTCAAACACAACCAAGGAAGCGGAAGTTAAGTCACAGGCCTCCCCTTCACACCTGGCTTCTCCTTGCAGGGCGACTGTCTCCTGGTCTGGCCACTAGGCTGACTTCTAGGCTGACATGTCATGTAACTTCATAGTCTCACAAATGCCATCATTTCCAGATCGCTTTTTTAAATAGCGTTGCAGCTGCAGCACGGAGGCAAACTACTGCATGCTTCCGAGTTTTTAAAGGGACAGAGAGTAGCAGCCACACTAAGTTTTTGTTCTAAGTCAAGTAAACACCACCAAATTCCTGCTTCGTCCTCTTGGATCTGATGGTTACAACTTTCTAGCTTCATCTAAATCTACCTATTCCCTGAAGTAGAATAAAGACACAGCTTGGAGGCTGAAGTGCTTGGATACCTGAAGAGGATGCCACCCAAAAAGCAACAAATGGATCAGCTGACCAGGAGAGAGGACCAGGTGGTGGATTCGGATCCATGGAGGAAGAGTAGCCATAGCCTCAATCCCCATCCTTCACTTAGAAGCTACCTGAAATCAGCCTGATTGGTAAAGGATACTTTTCTCTATTAAAAATCTCTTTTCGAGTGATTCCCAGCCCCGGAAGTGACCCACATGGCACCGCAGACCTCTCCTGTCTCACCCGCTTCTTCCCTCAGCAGTGTACTTCATTGGTCTGCCTGATCTGCTCCCCACTCTGTCTCTGGTGAAGCCTCTCACTGCCCCTCCACCTCTGGCCTATACCCAGTTCTGTATGAATAAATAATTAAATCTTTAAAAAAAAAATCTCTTTTCCTATCTCGTTACTCTCTTTAGTTTTGTTTTCAAAAAAATCTTTAGGGAGTAGAAGTGGGCAGCTGCAAAGGAGTTTCTACAATTGATACAGTTACTCTTTTCCCATCATAAGCAAGGTTATCACTAGAGTTAGATGCTTAAAAGGCTGAGATTATGGCACTTCTCTCCATAGAGAATTTTATTTAAAAAAATTTTTAAGATTCATTCATTCATTTATTTATGCATATAAGAACTGGGGTACAGGCCAGAGATGTGGTGGGGGCGGTGGTTTTAGAGGATAGAGGACTGAGCAGAGACAGTGGGGAGCAGAACAGGTAGACTGACTGAAATACACTGCTGAGGGGAATAGTGGGCGGGTCAGGAGAGGTCTGCTGCGCCATGTGTGTCACCTCCCTGGTCAGGGACCAAACTTGTGCTGCAGTGGCTGTGAATAGCTTCCTAGTGCTGTGCTTTAACTCACTGCATCACCAGGGAGGAGGGCCCTCCATTGAGAATTTTTAATGATCCTAAAAAATCTCTAAATCTAAAAATTCTAAATCTCTTTTTAGAATTTGTAACTGCACAATTCTGGATGTACCAGGATGCTAAGTGTTCCACGTCTGCTAATATCCCGGAAATGTGCTTGGGATGCCCATGGGAAATGCCAAGTTAGACAAGAAGTGGGGTTGGGACTGCTGTACACTGGTCTTCAACTCTTACTGGTCACCATGACCATCCTACCAATCATCTTTCAGCCAGATCACTGTGCAAAAAACTAATAAAAGAGCAAATCCTTCCATTCAATGTTTAAAAGCATTCACTCAAAAAGGTGTGACAGTATTTTCACAACTGCAAATAAGATCTGGTGACTAAGAGTATTTAGGAAGACAGTGAGGAACCAGTAAATTGATAAATTGATAAATTATCAAATATAGTTGATAATTTATCAACTATAATATATCAACTATATCAACTCAGAGAGCTCAGAGCGAGTGCACTGTTGACTCTGCATCCCTGCTGTTCAGCTTCCCTGTCACTCTCCTAAAGCCACCATCCAACATGCTTCAGCTTCGTTGCCTGTTAGGATCCTCCAACTCTACTTCATGCTGACATCCCATGCCTAGGCTCTATCAGGGTGTAGGCCAAAATTCAACTTACCTCCCAAGAGACAAGGCAAACATCCCTTGCCCCCTGGAAAGCTTCCTTTGTACAAACTGATCATCCCAGGGGTTCCCAAGTGGCTACCACTTCCAATTCACTGGTACTGTTGCCAGGATCCTCACAGGAACCCTAAGATAGTAAGTGCTAATAAGCAAATAAGCAGACAAGAAAACTAAAGAACAGAGTGGTAAAGTAACTGGTCCCAAGGTCATGAGGCCACTAAGTAGGGAAGCCAGGAATTAAACTCAAGTCAACTGACTTCAGCAGAGTCCACCATCTTCAACCAGAGGACCTCAGAATCTCTGACATTTAGCTCTATTATAACACTTGGTATAAACTATGCTGAAATATCTGCTGCTCCTTGAGGGCTGAGGCATTTTACAGGTACCTGATTCGCAATGCCTACATGTAACAGATACTCAATAAATATATTATTGATAGGTTTATATTTTCACCTGAAATGTTAAAGCAACAAAATGATTTGAGAGACAATAAGGCAGACTTTTAGTGGGGACAAGTCCATTAAGATGCTGTCAGCTGTATTACCTCACAAAGGAGGGTGCAATGGTAATGATAAAAAATAATTATCATGTAATAAGTATTAGGCCCTTACCTATTTTCAAGCACAGTGGGAATTATAATGATGAATAAGATATAGATTTCTTTTCATCAAGAGGTCAACAGTTAGGAGGCATTACTAGTATCTGTTAATACCACCACCAAATGAATGTTTTAAAAGCCCCAAAGAGCTTTGAAAGGAAACTATGGCAGAGTTTATATGAGAGACACACCACTCATGTCTGGACATTCAAGAAACTTCACTTAAGTCAGTCTTCATAATTGCGCCAGAGGGTTGCGCAATGTTTTACTTTTTCATATTATATTAAAAGGCCCATTATACAGAAGACTAAGTGGCGGTTCAGCAAGAATGGGTAGCTTGATTTGGACCCAGCTCCTTTAAAGAGGCAACAGCAGGCTCCCAATAGTAATTCAGACAGTGTAATTCAGACACTGTCCACATTGGTGAAGGTAAATCCTCCAATGCACATTTTTCAGATTAGTAAATCAAGATTTCAGAACAATCTGGTACCTCTCCAGCTTGTGGGTCCCCCAATTTGAACTCCATATGCTCCGCCACTTCCCCCCACCAGGCTCCCACCCCACATAGAGCATATGTGCATCTGATCAACCCACATTCTAACACACTTTCCCCTCTGGACTAATGAGCTGAAACATACCTCTCAGTCTATGGTTTGCTATTAACTGCCAAGTAGGAAATCGGCAGAGCAGCAAAGGAGAAGGGTTAGACAAGTGGAGTAACCATTTTATTTTTAAACCAGATTAAAGTGGTTTAAAACACATTTCATCAGATGTATCAGACAAGCAACAGGATGAGGCAAGTAAGCAGTTTGGCAAGGGCATTTCAATATCCCACACAAGAGAGAAGTTTACAGAAGATAAGCATTCATCAAGTGATCTAGGTGTCTTCTGTTGAAATCTATTACTCCAATTTGAGTTGGTAGAAAAAAATCCACCGTAAAATGTATATACAAGGACAAGCATAACAATGATAATGACAGCGTTTTTTATAGGACACTCTTCAAACAATATGCTATTGGGACATGTTAAGGGGCTGCTGCATTCACCAGGCATTGAGAAGGGACAACATACAAGACTGTCAGTGTGGCAAATCACCTGTTGCTGAGGCGCTGGGGAAACCGGACCAGGTACATTTACTTCACCCCTTGAAGACTAGAGAATCACAGTACTGGAGACTCATTTGTTACCAGCAGGTTGAGGGGAAAATACTCTAGATACTTTATTTTACAGCTCTTTGACGGCACCTAGCTACTTATGCATATCAATCCATTTCATTTTCTTAACTATCTCATGAAATAGGCACCTGCCCATATCTGGAGGCACAAGGCACAGGGTGTTCAGTGACCTGGAGGTCAGAGCCAGGTGCCTCAGGAGCAATGGGTGACAAAGCCTTGTGCTCAGTGGTCCGGAGCACCCTGTGCCAGCTCTGCCAGGTCTATAGTGGCCTGCTCTCCCATCAGGAAGGGGGTCTCTTCCTCCAGGGCTGAGCTCAGCCACCTCTCCCTGAGTTCCACA